ATTATTTTTTTGCTAGGACAATCTTTTTATTTGCTTATAAGTCAATTTTTTAAAATCTTAAATGAGTATAAAATTTGTTAAATTAGGTACACATGAGAGTAGAGAGCGACATTCCGAAAGAGCAGCACTACATATATTAAGAAATATAAAACGTGTAAGTAGCATAATTACACAACAAAAGATAGTGCAACTTGGCTGAGATGTTTTATTATACCCACCTTATTCTCCAGATCTTGCAACTTCTGACTACCACTTATTCCGGTCCCTCTAAAACCTCCCCCTACGGGATATATTTCGCTGATGAGAGAGATGTGAAAACTATGATTCACTTCATCAAATTATTCACCAATTTAATTTTCTAAAAGGTTGCTATACGATTTTTCAGAATAAACGGACGTTGATACCTAATAATGTAAATATAATATTAGATCAAAAGTTATTAAAGTACAGTAAATGTATTAAGATTATAAACATGTTTTATACATCCATGAAATATTTGTATATTTCACTTCTTCGTTCACACAAGTACAATGAAATAGTTTTTAAACAATGGCATTGCCTTAATTCAGTGGATTTTAAATACATTTTTCAAACTAAAAAAAAAAATTAAAAATTTACATTTAGTTGTAGTCCGTGGTACACCTCTTTTTACGAAATTATTAATATATGCCTAAAAATTTGTGAGTAACTTCATTTTGTCGATACCCACAAATATTTTATCAACGAAAATTTTCGGAATCGCGGCGTTCGGAGAGACCTATAACCCCAAAATGTCGTCCGAACGATGTCGTGAAAATTTATGAACATCCGGCTGATTTTCATATTATTGGTTAATAAACATGAGTACAATGAAATGGTCATAGTGACCTACAAAAATATTGGGGGGTTGATGTGACCTACAATCCCAACATGTCGTGGAACGACGTTGTGAAAATTTATGAACATCCGGCTGATTTTCACATAAATGGTTAATAAAGATGAGTGCAATGACCATTTGCATAATGGCCTACAAAAGTATTGGGGCGTTTTTCGTGAACTACAACCCCAGAACGACGTTGTGAAATTTTATAAACATCCGACTGATTTTCCCATTTATGGTTAAAAGAGATGAGTGTAATGATCATTTGCACAGTGTCCTACACAAATATAGGGGCGTTTTCGAAAAAAAATTATATATCTACGTATTTATTACTGTAACTTTACCATGTAGCCCCTCCCCCCCCAAAAAAAAAGGAAGTTAAGAGAAATGTATCAAAAGTTGTTCAGGAACATTCCTGTAATAGCTGGTAAAAATTTCCGAATATTCCTGGGTCGAGTTTTTATGTGGGGAAGGGAAAAAGGACAATTAACTAATTTAGTTTTTCATTTTTTTGTGAATTTCTCAACATCTATGAGGTTAGAGGCGAATATCTTTCTACACAAAATTAAAGTACTTTAATATCTCAATAAGAACAGTAAAAAAATTGTCTATTCCTGTAAGTATATTCTATTCTATACCTATCTTAATAACGCAATCCAGTTTCGTTCTCGAATTTTGGTTTTTGAGTTAACTATTCGCGTACACACACGCACGCACACAGACCATTTTGCGGTACTTGGTTATTTGAACTCAGAGGACCTCAAAACACTGGAAACTGGAAACTAATATACACTTAATAAATAGCCCAAGGTGGGGAGAGATGGAGAAGGCTGGTGTAACCGACAAAAGATCTCGAAGGTTTGCAAACCTGGTGGAAAATAAAGGCAATAAGCTTTTATGCTTACATACTCGCTTCTAAACATGCTTACAGCAGATGAATTAACTCTCATAATTGCTAATTGCAAAGGCTAAAAAGTATAAAATTACATACAATAAATCTCACTCAAGGTTATTATTGGCCTTAATAATGGTATATTAATATTGACAAGGCTTGACGTTAAATAACCTACCATCAATAATCATTCAGCGAAAACCATTAATGTTAATCCATCAGTTATTCATTTTGGAGTAAATCTAGGGAAATAGGTAGATTGCTACGAGTGAACCGCCCAGATCTGATACCTGAAAAGAGCATTGAGCGTTCTTCAATATCAATAATGATATTAACCATGCACGAGCTAACCTCTACAACAGTCAGAAATGCAAAATTGGAAAATAAAAAAAAAAAAAGAAACGACAGAAATTATTTAATTTTTTTTCTTTTTAATCAGTAAAACTGAAAATTAGACAGTAATTAAATAGATACACGTACTTTCCTTAACTCATATAGGCATACTCCTCACCTGTTCATGGTTTAGAAAGAAGAAGTCACAAAAAAAACAACAATAATTTCAAATTTTTAAGACTAATAAAGAACCTCGTTGGTATGTACTTAACAAAATTTTGGATATTAATTTACAATCATCAACCAAACAAGAAAAATATTGTTTATTTATGCCAATTTCCATTAAGAACTGCCATACGAACTTAACAATAAACTGATAAACAATAGCCGAATTTATGATCTGGTCGACGATTCAGACTCTAGAAGGCCTAAAAGCATGCTAATATTGTTATAATATGTTACGATGAATTCAACACATACACAATACAATGAGATCAATGAATATAACTCGGTGACAGATAGAATGCTTGTGCTTATAGGATGTCATAACAGAGAGCCTCCTGCTAGGACTACCCCCTTAGGAGATAAAGACAGGCCTAGATGCCGACACGGGCCGGAGCGGCAATCAATGGGAGTGATGTACGGCGGCAATAGACGTCGACGATAAATCGCAAGCAGTACCGCGAGGGATGAGCTGGATGATTTATTTCCACGGGGCCCTTGGACTTCCTTATTATGCTGCCCTGGCAGGGAGTGTCCCGGCGAGGGGGAGGGTGCCGCTTCGGTGCATCCTTGTTATGTGGAGGGGCACGCAGTCGCTTGGAACCGACGTATGGGTCGATTTGTGCAATGAAGTATCAAACGTTTAAGAAACGCAAAATAGTTTTAGAATATAACGTTCGTTTCCTACACACCTCACCTACAGAATGCCTTAAATTCCAAAATTTAAGGGTCAGATTATACGCGATTATCCTGATTTAGTTTCAGTCTACCCCTCAGGTAAACATTTTTCAATCAGAATCTGAAAGACAAATCTTTTAATTTTTCTTCTGCTAAATGTTCGAATCACTAGGATACTAGTGATGGGAGTCCATGGAAATAAATAGCCCAAGACAGGTAGAGATGGAGCAGGATTGTTTAGGCGGCAAAAGATCTCCATGGTCTGTAGTGCCAACAGAAAAAAAGAAGTTTGCAGTCCATGTAAAACGAGAGCCCACCAAGCAAATGTCATTAAATTAATAAGAGCCTGAACCACATTGAACCGTCTTAATTGAAGGAGGAGATCGCTGTAAACATGTTAAGAATAGGTCATACAAATTTAACTCATTCATATCTTGTCGGTAAACACCTACCGCCAACATGCCAAACCATAACAGCCCTGACACTGTCAATCATATTTTCGAGAAATTCCCACATTGCACCTTAAATAGATCAGTTTAAATAGACTTTATATTTAATTAGGTTCTAAAATTTGTATATACCCATTTGCAATTCACTTGAATCGTAAGATAATTTTTCTTTTAACTTTAATTTTTTTTTTATTCATACATGTCACAATGGTAATGACAACCAGTGAATGTGAGATCGATTACTAAATATGATTTCATGAAAGGCATTACGGTGATCAGTGCCCACCGACACCTCACTCGGCGTGATACCTACATGTAGGCGAGGAGGTTCCTCATCCAGCTCCTCTTCAGTCTCCTATAGACTTTACCTGGCATATCCGTAGTGGTCATGTCATTTATGAGTGTATTAGGATGTCCTTGTAAGTTGTCGTGGAATCGTTTGTAATGAGTTCGTTTGTGTTCGTTAACAGTCGGCATATGGAGGTCAGTAAGTAAGGTTATGTTGCTAACGTACCAATCTTCTGTAATTGTTCGGAATGTTTTTGCTTGAAAGATTCGAAGTTTGTTAATAGAAGTCTTTTTAGCTGTTCCAAATATCTGTGATGAGTTACTCAAAATAGGTTTTAGTAAATAATTTTATGTGTTCAATTTCTGTCCAAGTTTTAGTTTTGAAAGAAGTGAATTCAGAATTCTTAACCTTTGATTTATCTTTAATATTTTCGTTTGCATTTTCTTTCAGTTTTTTTTTTTTTTTATGACGGAAAGGAATAAATTATATTAGGTATAAGTTTATTTAGATACAGGAAGAATTTTTTTCTTGCTCGGTTTTAGTATAACTTCCTTGACTGAATTTGCCAGATAATTACAAAAATCTCAAATAATCGCAGCTGATTTTTGTATTCATCATTAGTAGAGAGCTCAAAAAACATTTTGATTAAAAACTTTCTTTCTATGCTATCCAAAGTTGTCCTGGATGATAGAGTAATTCTTCCTTTACTATTTATCTATATATATTTATTTCGTCTGAGGCTATCAGAGAAATTACAATATTTTAATTTTTAAAATGTGAACATGTAATAGGTATCCCATAGTAACCGTGTTCTCAAACAAGCTTTCAGCAATAATTACGAAACATCTGAAATAATGGTACGTTTTAGGCTTTAAAACACGAGATTTCCAAAGGAAATACACCGGCTCTTGATGACCAAGTCGAAATCCGTGATATAAAGCAAAATTTATGGAAGTTTTGAAACCTCCTGATTGAAAAACGTTTTATGTGACCTTTGTAATTGTAGTATGGTTTTATGAAATTTGGGTTTGTCACTTCTCCATGAAATTTCCTTTCTTTTGAAACCCCACTCACTAAAATCTTTCGCTCCTGAAAGCCGGAAAAGGAATCTATAATGCTATATTATATTGTTGGTAACAATTATTTGGCGAATCGGAACTGTAAGTGTAAATACAAAAAAAACTGACAAGAGATTGATCCTTTATATCAGCTAGTATAATATAACGCTACTATGGAAGTTCATTGAGTATCTAAAAGAAATACACAGTAGAGGGTACGATGCCTAGTGTTGATCCCAAAACATCTCTTATGAGAGCTGACTACCTGGAACTACTGAAAGCGGAGGCAATATGTCAGGGACGTCGAGGAGCCTATAGCCACTCCGGAACAGAGGAGGTAATATGTCACTGGCGGGCACGATCCTGTGATAGGGAGCCGTTTAGAGGAGGATAATAGTTTGGGCCCCTGGCGACAAAGAGGACCACACAGGCAGGAGTGGTGTGTGGTCGTCCGCAGCGCTGCCACCTCGACCGCATCAATAGCTGTCCATCCAAGAAAGAGACAAAGGAGTGGCCTTTGTGTGCGATTCGGTATGCCGTGGCGTCACGTGCTCGCGGCCGCGGGGTATCTGGGCCTGTCATCCGATTCCACCATCCGGATGGCCGAGTGTCTTCCAGGATGTCGAGTGGTACGCTTGAACGGGGCAAGAATGTTAGCTTGGATATCTGAGCCTCAAGTTAATGCTACACCGAAAAATAAAACCCGACAGAGATGTACCCCCCAGTCAATTCTTTGATTGACTGGATTGTTATCTTAAAAATTACAGAAGAAGACGACTTCGGCAGCACGTATTTAAAATACTCCAAAGAAATTACGTTTACTTCTTCATCTATTATTTGTTTTTTCTTATTTTGAGGAGAGTTTTAATTTACCTCAAGGTGAGACGGGTATGGACCTCATAATCCAATTTAGATCAAACTTAAATAATGGACATAATCCAAACAACAGCCGTTCGAAAACAATTATAAGTCATGGTAATGAATTTACGAATGAGGATTCTCACAATACTATTAATGCGTAATAAGCATTTCCGTTTCCGTTTTAGATATAATATAGTGGATTCATAGGAGGGTGAAAAAGAGAAATTTCTTCTTCCCAATTGGAAAAAAAAGTTCGCCAGTTTAAAATATATCTATGAAGTATACTCATCAAGAAATTAATATATTACACTTAGTATTCACTAATGGTATAACATTTATCACTCGAAAATCAAATCCAAAAACAATAACATTACATTTTCGCCGGGTTTAGTCTGATAGACAAGAAAATAATCTTGAAAATGTTACACACATTCTAACACTACAGCACGACTACCAACGTTCAATACCCAACATACAAATTATGTTAGATTAATACACTTTTTCAAGTCGAAAAAACAGAGTTTTGTCTCTCAAATTCGAGATATTTCAAGCCTAAAGAGCTAATTAATAAGTAGTATAACTAAATAAATAAATAAAATATCCACTGTGAGGATATTTATGTCAATTACAAATGTTGAAAAAAAAAGGATGCACTTGGATTAAAAAAAAAATTGTGTAATTAAATTAAGATCGAAAATTGAACAATTAGCCTACTTCTATTCCACTTTCTCCGAATCTTAATCTTATCAAATTGTCTATTAATTTAACTAAATTTGACCTTCGGGCTCATATACTTTTAATATTTAAAATCTCAGATTGGTTAGTCTTGGTGAATCCATAGGTAAGATGTTAACAAAATTAAGTGGTTTTCGTTTTCAGGTGGAGAGACGGGTATTACACAGTCAACTCTAGTAAAATAAATATATATATATATATATATATGACATGAAGGAAAACAAATCTTGAGAAGTGGTAAATGTTAATCTATACGAATTATGATTATGAATAATAAATTAACATTATTTACTCTAAATTTTAGTGGCCTCCAGCAGCTATTCCTTTTTGAAGAAATGTCGAGTGTATTTAAATTTTTGGCTTGGGATCCTAAACGTCCGACACCCTAAATCAGACAACCATTGCCTTAGTTTTCTGAATATTATTTACGCCTATGCGAATTCTTCCTTAAATTCTTATTTGCTTGTAGGAAAAGTCTATATAGGTATATTACTGATTTATTTATACCTATAAAAAATTATTCGATTCATGTTTGTTATTATTATTTTTTTTTTAACTTTTACACTTTCATTTGCCACATTATTAATTAATTAATTAATTTTAAGGATGATACTAATATATATTACTCACTGAATATTATACAAACAACACATTGATAAAATAATAATAATAATGACATAATTATTGATATAAATATAAAAGTGGCCAGGTTCCTTATTAAAGATATGAGACCAAAGGGGTTCTATCTAGTGAAAATAGAACAATATGTTGGAATCTTTCTATAATTAGCGATTAAACGATAGTAAATAAGAAAACTGATTTAGCCTTAATTGACCGAAATACAAAAAGTGGGTATGTCACTGATATTGCAGTCCATTGTACCATTGGAAAAAACGATTTTTGAAATGTCAGAAATTTTAAAAACTTGTGCCAGAAACTCTATAAGCTGGATCATATACAAGTATTTCCGGTAGTAATCTCTATCAATGGCCTCATCCCAGACTATAACATCCGCTCTATTGGGAAATTAAAACTGCCAGCAAAAGTATTGGAAGGAGGACCGAAAGCAGTTCTCTTTGGCATGGCAAACATCGTCAGAATGTTTTAAACATGGTTTGAAATTCGATCCTAACCCCTAACCTAGTACCGGGTAGGTGAATATTTCTAGCGTAAGTCAAGAAAGTGCGAAATAATTATAATTTTGTAACAAATTTTTCTTACCCAAACCTGAAAAAAATATTGAGAGCCATTGATGCTAAGAACATGCTAATCTGTATCTCTTGAGTTTAAACAAAATCTGAGTATATTATTGATAGGTAATTTAATGGATCCCTCATTCATCTTCTTCTGATCATCCTACAGGTGTTACATAGGGGATGTCGATTGTGGACAAGTCGTGAATAAATAAATTTGTTTGTCCGTGTCTTGAACTTTGGGGGACAGCAGAATTTTCTAACATCAAACTCATCCAATCCTTTCAGTCTAAAGTCCTCCGAACAATAGTCGATGCTCCGTTCTATGTAACAAGCCAAAACCCTACATCATGACCTTAATATACCATTTGTCCTCGACCTTATCCCTAAAAGTTTTTCCAAATTCCATCAGAACCTTATAAATCATCCAAATCCCTTAGAACAATCCCTATCTAGTTCCACTCATCCCTACAATCCTCCTCGAAGGTTGAAGCGGCAGTGGCCCAGAGATCTTTTGTAGTATATATCTTGGAGTTCTGGCAATGACCAGATTCTCCACTGACAGTGTATGTGGCTAAAATGTTTTCGCTCAAACTCCACTGGCTTTAGCACAGTGACACGGTTGAGAGAGTAGCGCAGGGATCTCTTGGAGTCCTGCTTTTTCTTCTATAGTTGGAGGGAGAAGCCTGGCTTGGGGTTATATACCTAATTGTATATATTGTATATAGGTATGATTGTTTTTAATATTTTTTAATTTACTTGTCTTTAGGTTATTTTATTTTTTTATTGTACATAGTTTTTGATTATTATTTTACTTTTGTTAATTTTATATTTTCTGTATATATGCTGTGATTGTGTTCATATATCACTATAATCTATTGTCCACGTGACAGATTGTTATAATTCTAAATAAATAAATTTTAAAAAAAGTTTGTCCATGTAAGTTATTGTGAAATGTTTTATATTGAATTGAACTTTGTCGGTCTGAGGAAATTGTACACTGCCTATTCATGTAGGGTAACCTTCTGGAGGTTTCACTCAATTCGAAGAGAGAAATTATAATGTTGTCGGGCAGATTTGTTGTGACCACGGTCTTTAACAAATTTATTTATTTTATTCTTTTACCCGATATATGAACACGCAATAGTGCATCTAAACTAATCTTAGATTTTTCTTATATGCCGGAGAGTTAGACAATTCCAATTCATTTTATGTTAAGGGCTTTAATAATAAATTACCTTATCATACGAATTTTTCTTTTGAAAAACATGAGAAGCACGATTTGACAAACTTTATAAAGCCCATTGTAGAAAAAACAAGTACCCGGCAATTGCTAATTAATTTGTTGGAGCACAATACATTAGAGCTTAATCTTTACAAATTTAATATATCCCATGTGTTTACTGATTAAAAACTGATAACCCAGAAGACCGTGTTCACAGAAGTAGAAGAAAGAGGTAAGATTAGGCAATGCTTCTTATATATATACATTCAATATGCCATTAGTTTACTTTGTTTTGTTTCATAGCGTCCTCTATTCGAGTTATGAATCCATGATAAAGTTTTGATATTTTGTTTTGATACATTTCCTAGGAAAAACCAATAACTCCTAAATATCCTTTCACTAATTCTTCTTTTTAAAAGCAAAGCTGACTTAGCAGAAGTGCTCCACTAATGGGCAGTTATTAGAGAGAACTGCAGACTCCCTTGAAAGGTCGGTGGAAGCAGTTAGGAAGGAATGTGGGAGCAGACTTCGTCGAGTCCTTCCTTAGGAGGAACGTTGCAGCACCGGGAATGGCCCAGACCTCGGCTTTGGACGGAAAATTGGCGTCGGAAATCGATTAGCTGACAATCCGATTTTTTTCCCTCTTGAAAACGGCGTTTCGTTCAATGTGATCAACCGTTTAATATTCGCGATTGACCAATGGAACAAATCTTAAAGTACTCCATCGAGGCTGTTTGTTGATACGGTTGACATGTACGGATGGTACATATACTGATAGCTTATAGCGATGTCAACGATTCCCAGGAATACATAATGATCATATTGATGACAACCCAATAGTTGACTATGATCCATGCTAAGGATATTTTTATTTGAACTGCTTTTTCAAAGAAATAAATTTGTATAAAGCAGCTCAATTTGTTAAGCTAACTGCACAATCCATAATCGTTCATTACAAACTCAATAAACATGCGATATTTTAATATTATTACTAAAACAGACGTAAAGCTAGGAAAGAGACATATGGTAATTATGTTATAAATGAAAAAAAAATTCAAGCTACAAAGTCTCATACACACAGGTCGCAAATTCAGGCATCGCATTTAGCGTTGGTTTCTTCCGAAAAGTTGTAACAGGAAATTAAATTAGTATATAATTTCAAGAAATTATCCATTGACAATTAGTGTGACAATATTGAACCATAATACTAACCTAACTCAGTCCCCGCTAATCATAACATATAATACGTGAAAAGAAACGATAAATTACCTATAGTATTACGTATTAAAATATATATTGAATATAACTGCATATAGATAGATAGATAGAAAAAAAAATGTATTCTGGGACCAAGTCCCTTTAGAATAAAAAAATTGTACAAAAAGAAAAGAATACAACTGACCTAAAAGTTTGAAACAATTAATTAAATTAATAAAATTAAATTAAAAAGAAAACCTTAGGTGGACAACCCATATACAATACAGATAAAACTATGAACAAACCACTTAAAACTATGAACAAATCACTTTAAACTATGAACAAAACTATAAAGGTTTAACAGCATAAACAAACACTTTGAGAAATGAAGAACGAAAAAAAGACAAAACAGAAGATAATTTCATAAAAAAAACTGTGTATATATAAATATATATATATATATAAAAGAAGTTATATATATATGTGTGTGTGTGTGTGTGTGTGTGCGTGTGTATAACATTGTAGCAAACCCATAGCTCAAGAGCGTAATAACGAAGTTGTTGATCGCCTAACATAACTCATAACCTAACCTAACCCATCCATAGTAGGCACTGAAAACTTCGTATTTACATTTTAGTAAATTTTACTAAGGAAAAATATGAGTTTAGTGACATGTATATTGAATAATAATAATAAGATATGCATTACAATTCTTACTCATTTATACATTACATATATAGATGTACTTTCAAATCCCTCTATATTTAGAGCCTGGAGACTGGAGTGGTTAAAATGACCGATGAAGTTATGAAGTTTTTATTATCTACCGCCGATATAAGAGCATTATTGTCGTTTTAGTGGCCTTAATGAGTTTTATAGTCAGTTAGCTGTTAGCTTTTAATTAGCTGTTAATGAGGTTTCATAGTCAGTTAAACTAAGATTTAAGATTTAGCTCCGTTATGGATGCACTTCAAACATTTTATAATAGTCAAAGTTTGCCTGTAAATAATTTCTATTTAAAGTAGATTGGTAAATGAAAGTTATGAAGTATGAAGCGTGTTTTTTTAACTTGGCTAATTGTTACTAACTTATAATAATATATATATATAGTAATTATTTAGATGGTGCGGTGCTCATCGGTTACGCTTGGTTCACAATCACTTCGCACACTTGTTCATGAAACAATTTTCGAATAAACACGTATGCATTCGGCACTCCATTAACAAGTGTGACCGAAGTGATTGTGAAACTAGCCTAACCAATGATTCCTCATCTAAATCATTACCATATATATATATACATTATCAAATGGGCAAGTTCCTAAACACAACACTGAGCACATCGATGGCATCTTTTCGCTCAGTTTAGAGACGTATCCTACGCCATGCGATTTGTTAAGCACTGAGATCAAGAACTTATATTTTACATATTGTTAAAAAATGTACTTTTACGGTCTTAAAAACCTGAATATGCACACGTTTTTATCATGATCGATGTGACATCAATAATATTACTACTTTGAGCTAATAAGCAAAGCTTTAATTCTATTATTTTAAATCTTTGATTATATCAACTTTATGGATCTTTACGATTTTTCTTGGAACATGGGTACAAGGATTTACGAAATAAAAAAAAAAATTATGATACTAGTATTTATTATTGACGAGTGGTAACACTGACATACTGCATCGTCACCTCAGTCTAGTCTCACCTGTGTACAAATGCACTTCATTACAGTCATAATAATTCAGATACAACTGAATTGCTGTTAATCAGAAATTAAGAATTTGCGAATCTTTAAGAAGGCTCCTCAGTTATTCTGAATACAAGTACTGACGAATTGAATAAATGCTTATTAAATTAACCAATCATTGATGTATGAAATTAATAACTAATAGTTATTAGAATTTAACAATTATATTATGGCATATCAGAAGAAAACATAAATTCTATTTAAATTTAAATTAAAATATTTCCGAATAAATCATTGTTTAAACTTTGGAATCTACTTGTCCGAGCAAGTTCGAACATTGTACTTCGCCCTCACTCCGGACTTAGATCGACGCAGTTCAGAATAACGAAATACTTATTCATTATAAAACAAGTGAATTTCATCCCATAATGAATTATAATATTTAAACTATCTGAACAAGAAACAAGGAAGTTTTTCAGATCTTTCTAGAAATAAGGTACTGTAAATTTTCAAAATAAATAATACTGTCGGTTCGATTAACCAATTCTTAATGTATCCAAGGTACTTATACAGGGTGTCCCATAAATAGACGCAAATAAAGAAATATAAGCTTTTCAACAGTTAATGGTTGTAATTTTTGCAGAAAATACGGGTACTTAAAAGCGAAAGGATAGAAAATCACATCTTTACACAACTTGAGGTGAATCTCAACTTATTGAAAAACCAACCTTAACTGAACTAATATGGAAGTGGGGTAAATGTAGAACAGTTTAAAGGTAATAAAAAAAAAATCACAAATAATTTATATCATTTTCTTAAATGGGAGTTAGCTGAGAGTTTAGCCTCACAATATATATATATATATATATATATATATATATATATATATATATATATATATATATATATATATATATATATATATAGAGAGAGAGAGAGAGAGAGAGAGAGAGAGAGACAGAGAGAGAGAGAGAGAGAGAGAGAGAGAGAGAGAGAGCGAGAGAGAGACTGAGAGAGACGAGAGAGAGAGAGAGATAGAGAGAGAATAGAAGAATCAACTTTATTCTGGGACAAGTTCCTAAGAGTAACAAAATTAACATTGCATCTGGCCAAAATAGATATTACAATAAAATAATAACTAAAACCTAAGTAATAAAAGAAATATTTACATAGCTATACAGATATATTAAAGAAAAAAGATGAGCAATAAGGTCACAATACTGCATATATATGTATGTATATATTATATATATATATATATATATATAGAGAGAGAGAGAGAGAGAGAGAGAGCACACTTAAATATAAATATGCAAAGCAAATTGAAAAATAATAACATTGAGGTTATAATCATGTTACATACAGCGGACCCATCGACATCGGATGGAACTGATCAGTGACTTAATTGATGAACTAAGAGACGGTCATATTTCTGTCGAAATTAAAGATGGGCTGGTAAATAAATGATCTCATTGATTACTTGATAAATTTTTTTTCGAAAACAAGCTAACTTTCAGCCAAGCAAGCAAAAAACCCGTTTCAAACTAATGTTCACCATAGTTAGGGCTTTGTGAAAACATGGCTTTATATATTTTTATGAATATTTTCACTAAGTAGTTAGTGGTTTCTTAATTTAGTTATTCCCAGCTGTTACTGTTGTTAATTTACTAATCAGATTATATTTAAAAAAAAAATTATACTTTATAGAGAATTTCTACTATACTAAAACTGAAAATTTCAATTTTCGTGTCGAATATAAAAATACAGAACAATAAATCGAGCCCTGTTCAACGAGTTTTATTTTAATATTGCAATATATCTAAAGTAAATAATAATTTGAAATGTTATTCTCAGAAGAAAATAATCTATTACTAGTGAAATGACTTATTTAAAAGGAATTTTCAATGAATATATTAAAATTATTGATATGAAAATAGGAAACTAATATGATTCAGAGAAAAATGCACAGCCTACTGAATTGACAGATAAATATAGCAGAAGGGCAGTACGGCCGAGCGAGCTAACGCGTATGCATAGCACCGCGCATTGTCCAGCAAGCTGATAACCGAAGTTATAGATGTAAAAATTAGAGTTCGCGTCCCGGGACCGGCCGGAGGTTTTTAGCTCTCTGCAGAAAAAGAAGATTAATATAGAAGCCGCTAAATTCAAATTGGGATTTTCTTTTAAAATATGGAGCCAGTCCCTAAACTCAGTGCTAAGTCAATCGATGAAATCCATCAATCGATCCATTCAAACAGCGGTGTTCAGAGATTTCAGTATCGACCTGTCAGTATCGACAGCGGAGTTCAGTATCGACTTGCTGGAATCCAGCACAAGATTAACACTCATAGAAGGTTACAAAAAACAGAAAAAAATAGGAATTGTCTACCAACTGAATTTTTTAATTTCAATATAGGAAAAAGTACAGAATGAAAATAAATTGAATTCTAAATATATAAAGTAAATTGAGAAATAACAACACAGGTTACATCCAATAGATCTGTCGACAGCGAACGAAACTGATGTGCTATCAATTATTAAATCGATGAATTAAGAGACGGAAACATTTACATAGATGAGATCAGAGACGATCTAGTGGATTTACGATGTCATCGATGAGTTCAGCGCTGAGATGAAAAACATTCCTAAACTCTTAAAAGAAAAAAATATGCTAATGTAAATTTCCACTGCGCTGTTGGCGGCTTCTTAAATTTGCTATTTAATTGTTAC